GAAAACCAAATATGGGTGCTGAGGTGAGAGCCTCTTCAGATTCATGAATGCTCGGTCAGTACACTCAGTCCACTCAAAATCAACTGAGGGACTGGTAAGGCAAGGTAAGGGTCTTGCAATTCTGGAGAAGTCTTTGATAAATCTCCGATAATAGTTTGCAAGCCCCAGGAATCGTAAAATCTCTTTGCGAGATCTAGGAGTAGGCCACAATCTAACAGAGTTTATTTTCTCTGGCTGGGTGTGAACCCCGTCAGCAGAAATTACATGGCCGAGAAAGTTGACTTTTCTCTGAAGAGATGACACTTTTAGGATTTAACTTTAAACCTGCTACAGTCAGCCTGTCCCAAACAGATTTTAGTCGTAAAAGTGCCTCATCAAAGGAATTTGCAAAGACAATTATATCGTCAAGAAAAACAGAGACATTCACTCCACTGTAAGCCTCTCAAGAATGTTTCCATTAGTCTCTCAAAACACTCGGAGCATTACAAAGTCCGAATGGGAGGACATTCCACTCGTAGAGTCCTGAACGAGTGACAAAAGCTGTTTCTCTCTCGATCTCGAGGGTCCATCTCCACTTGCCAGTAGCCTGCTTGAAGGTCCATCGTGCAGAACATGGTTGCCCCTCCTAGACAGTCAATACAATCGTCTATTCGAGGAAGGGGATAGCTGTCCTTACGAGAAACACCATTGAGCATCCTAAAATCACAGCAATATCTCCATCGACCATCAGCGCGCTGCACTAATACCGTTGGGGAAGACCAAGGACTATTCCATTGACGAATAACGCCTTGCTCTAACATTCGGGCAACCTCTTTCTCCTCTGCTTCTTGCTTAGCAAGAGTTTGGCGACGTGGAGCTTGCTTGATGGGTCTAGCATCCCCAGTATCAATACGGTGTTTCACCAGACCTGTACGACCTAGGTCATCATCGTTCTTAGCAAAAATATCTCTGTAAGTATACAGGAGATCTCTGAGTTTTTCCTGTTGTTCCAGGGTAAGATTATCTTGGCTTCTCTCGAACAAATCTACTAAGTGTTCGGGAACCTCGGGATTTGCAACCCTAACCTTAGAAACTCTCTTTGGGATTATGTTAGGTTCTATGACTTTAGTCCCATAACATTGACCTATAATTCTCCCTTAGTTAAAGTGTATTCGCTGTCTAAAACATTAATGGCTTTAACTGTGGCTGCTTTAGTTTCATTATGAACTATGGAGTTACTCATCATTAAACCTTGTGTAAAAAAGTATGTCTTTACAGGGTTCAACAAGGACTGAGGACGGTTTTTGATTAACTCCCGGCAAGGAAACTTGGACGTAGGAAACGGAGTGAGGTGGTAGGTGAACGTCATCAGCAATGCTGACAGTGGTTTCTGATCCAACCATTGGCAACCAACTGCCAAGCATCCGGATTCTCGACCCAGCGATGTCAATCAGACCCTCAAGTCTCTCCAACACATCTACTCCAAGAATACCATCACATTCATGGGAATTATCCACCTCTGCAATCAGAAATTCCTCCACAGTGGGGTAAATATCATCACTCACATGAACAGGTGCTTGAAAAAGACCATGGGCTTTAAACAGACTTCCATTTACAGCTTCAAGCATGAAGTCCACGGAACTGACAGCTACAGATGAAGACAATCGTTTACTCATGGCAGGGGACACTAGAGATACCTGGCTACCGGTATCCACTAGCAGGGGGTGAAGTAAAGCGTTTCCAATCTTAAGATTGACAAGTTGGCCTTTATCGCCAATATTGAAACAGGCTCGGAAATTGGCCTTGACAGGAATCGCGTCAGATGGAGTGAGTGTTGAAGGAGTTGTCCCCCCTTGATCAGAAACCAAACAAATCTCTCCCTCCATATGACCTCTTGTTTTTGTTATTTTAGGATTTGCGGCTCCATTTTTATCAGACTCCACCAAATCCCGACCTAAACCGGGAAGGTGGGTGATCGTTTCCCGATTGCTCGGTAATGTGGCATTTACTTGGACATTCGGATGCCAAGTGTCCAGTCCCACTGCATTTATAACAGGTACTGGAGTGTCTGCCTGTACTCGGTGAACGAGAGAGAGGAGTGCCTCGTTCCCCTGATCTTTTTCTCTCTCGGGAAAAAGATTGATGATGCTCTGAACCACTGACATGTTTATTCTTATCTCCAGATCTTTGGTGACCTGGGCGGCCTCTAGACTGATACTGGTGACGTCTTGAATACGACTGCTGCTGCTGTACAGAGGCCAATCGTTCAACTGTCTTCTGAAGCTCTGACAATTGATCAGTCAACATCTTAAAGCGCTGGTCCTCTGAATCCTCCTTCTTGAAGTGAACTCTTCTCCCAGAAGAAGGATGAGGACTGAGAGCTCTCACCGGTTTGTTCTGACCGGGCTTCCCTACGATGGACTCGTACATCTCAGCAACATCAACTGCCTCTTGAAGTGTACTGACCCCACGGTCCATGAATCGAAGTCGTAATTCCTTCCCTACAGCCCGCAACAAAAGCAAGCCTTTCTTGTAGTTCGTACGACAAATCCGGGTAAGCACCTTGAGCACGACACCAGATTTCATCACGCAAATCAGCAATTCGTTCTCCTGGCTGGCGAACACGGGTGAGCAATTCTTCTTGCCTCACATCCGGAAGAGAGCTAGCATATCTTCTTCTCAAACATTGAGAGAGCCACACAAAATCACATCTTTGTCTCTCAGGTAAGCCAGAATAGAATTTCTGAGGCTACCCCCTCAGAGCGCAACCCATTATTTGGGCGGCAGGCATTACTCCAGTCGGACTGGGCTGCAAGGTTTGAGAACTGTGACTCAAACACACGGTAATCACCGGTACCATTAAATTTTTGCAGCTGAAGCGAAATTCTTCCCACAGAATTATTCTTAGCAGAGCGACCTAGAGAATCAATTCTCTGTGATAGACTTATCATGCAGCTTGACAGCTGTGACACAAGACCCAATAAGTTTGAATCTGAGCTCACCATGGCAGGTGGTGTGTTTGGTGGTGGTACAGGTTCAACAAAGATTGTCTATGAACAGGAGAATTGTTCATGTAACCTGGGAGAATGTTCCCGAATTTAACTCAGAGTTTAACTCTGGATTGATTTGCATCCGACGAGAACGTAAGTTTCCAGCAGGACCATCCAAAGGATCAGCACTACTCAAAGGACTTGCCATGACTAATATATTCAGTACTATACAAATGATTTAATAAAACTGCAAATTACTCACTATATTACTTGACATTTATAATAAATTAATTTACTAGTCACAGTTTACTAGGTGATCCAAAATGGATCCCGCCGCTGCCACCATAAAACTGTAACGGTCGACGGGGTGGCTGGAGAGGTATTTACTACGACAATGTGGGTATGTGGATCACTCTCTTCCAGCCACGGCAACACAACAGTTTTAACTAGTAAATGATTTCACAAGTCTTAAAAGTTACCAACAGCAAAATTTATTATAAACAATAGCAAACTTCTAACAGTAAAGACATATGCAATCACGCCGCCCAAAGCGTTACTCTACAAGTTATAAGGTACAGTACAATAAATATAGTTACAACAGTAGAAAGATTTTACATGCGCTTCTTCGAGTATAGTGCCTCCGGCAAGCCGGGTGTAAACTTACATGTTATTCATGGTTTTCTTCCCTACGATGGAGATGCAACCATCCAACTCTCAGTGATTCGTCTGTCTGTCTCAACCGTTAATCGAAGAAATCCCTCATCTCCGTTATTTCTATTGTGACGTAAAATCCTAGATACAGAAACCTTCTAAAACACCTCGCTATGACGTCACAACATGGCGGCGCCCATGTCAAGACGTAGCTTACCTGAGGCAGCACAAGTCAACACCAAAGTCACTACATACATTACGCCACATCAGGTAGACTGATGGAACGAGGTGAAGAGATGGCTTGGATCTGTTTTACATACTAATTCCAACGGTATGAGCTCTCGTAATCTAAAGATCACGGTAAACTATATGTTGCAGTGCACTGGCACGGAACAACACTACATGGACAGTGTAACTGATACCACGTCATAAGTAGGATATTAAGTATACCCAAAATGACGTCATAAGTAGATAAAAGACTATCTATATAGGGTGAATTATTATCGATTACCCTGATTTCAAAATAACATTGTCGGGCACACCTTCAGATGGACAAGGCACATGACTATCAGAGACAGACTGAAATAACTTTCGACAAAGGTGACTCCTTTATGTTTTACTCTTTTAGTGGCCCTCTTTTCTTCCGGTGTCTTCCCTTCCCTCTTGCCATGTCCAGAAGTAATCCTGGACACATTGTCCTTGATGCTTTTATAAGGTCCCAACATTTATTTATTTTTTGTAAACCTCTTCCACTTCCCTCCCCCAACAAAATACAGTCTCCACGGATTGGAATCCAAACAGCAAAAGCATTTGGCTCTTTTCACAGGCGTTTCATCCCCCAAACCCATTCCCAGTTGTACATAGTAATCAACTGTAGTAGATGCCAAAATAGTAGCGTTAGGTGTGTGTGTGTGTGTGTGTGTGTGTGTGTGTGTGTGTGTGTGTGTGTGTGTTTGAGGGGGCTATCGGAAGGAAGGTGAGCCGAACAACTGATGGAAACAATGGTTCACTGCGCGCATTTCAAGTAGTGCAGTGCTATCTACTTCGTTTGCTTTCCTGTGAATACAACTATGTTCATGTTCTATGTGGTAATTGATTTTAACTGTACTTGAGGGAATTTCCTATCTGTATATTTATTTGTTTGAAAGGACTGTGTAAAATGTGACGTATCGTCACATTTTTCTGGCCTGTGGCAGAGATACTATGCTGGCTTGCCGCATGGAACTCTGGGTAGGAGAGTGACTATATATACAACTAACTGAAAATCCTTCCTCACATAAGGTCATTGGCGACAGAGTTAGGTAACCTCTCATTGTGGTTTCGTTGGCGGTCGAGAGTGAAGTTGGCGACTTTTTGGCAACTTTTAATCACTCGGTATTTATTAACCACAAGTTTTTTAAGAACGAATTTGGTGTTCCGCTTAAGACTAACCACATATGTAATGGTTAAAAGAGTACAAAAAACAAAAGTTATTTGTTCTTTAAGCTGCAAACTGCCTTGCACATGCACCAGAGGCGGTGGGGTAGCCTAGTGGTTAAAGCTTCCGCTCGTTACGTTGAAGACCCGGGTTCGATTTCCCACATGGGCACAATGTGTGAAGCCCAGTTCTGGTGTTCCCCGCCGTGACAGCTAAAAGCGGTGTAAAACCCAGCTTACTCACTACACGTGCACCAGGTGGGTACAGGATATGGTTACCCATATCTTTACAATGCCACTCCCGAAGTCCTGGTCTCGTGACATCAGCTGCTCTGTTTGGGCCGAAGCATGTTCATTCCTATGTCTGTTGAAACTGGTTCGCCGATGTCGACCTAAAACGAGGTTTATAACTGAACCACACTCCTAAGCCAGTGCCTAAGATTCCATGCCTGAGACCGCCTCCGTGGTGTAGTGGTTAGAGCGTCCGCCCGGAGAGCGCAAGGTCGCGGGTTCGATCCCAGGCCGCGTCATACCAAAAGACGTTAAAATATGGTACTTGTCGGCATTAATGGGTACAACAAAAGGACTGGTAGGCTCGGAGTCAGTATAATGTGTCTGAGGTGGGTATTCATGCTTCATTGCGGCATGGTATCTCCAGTGGGCTAGCACTATAAAACCAGCTTCAGTCTGGGCTAGTACAAGCAGCCGCACATACACATACACACCCATGCACGTCGTCATATGAGCGAAATATTCTCAAGCACGACGTTAAACCCAATTTCACCTCACCTCACCTCACCATGCCTGAACGTTTACACAAAATCGTCCTAGTAAATGTCCACGCTGACGTCTTAGAACAGCATAACGTCCCACAAAGATAATTATGTATTGTTTGCACCAACACCGTACACAGAATGGAGCCAGCGTCTGTTGGAATACCCGGATGTGCTGTGGTTGAAATGACGTGGGGACTCTACAGCCTCTATACTTACGGTGGCGTCATTTCCAGTTGTAGGGTCCCGTTGCGGTGTAATAAAACCTACTCACAGCAACAGTAGACAGTTTACCGAAAAAATATCACCTTTTCATTTAAAGACCCCATCCCTACTACTTTACTCGTGCAGCTCTTTTATGAAAACAATCCTCTCAATATTCATATTTTAAGGAAATACAAATGTGTCCATTTTTTTCAGAGCCACTAATGTTGGAAAACTAAGAATATCAATTTACACAGTTTTAAAATATTACCCAATGAAAACACGTTGACTAGAAAAGCTCACCTAAAAAACATAGCTAACTATTTCATTAACATTAGAAAACAGCACTCGTAGTAGGGTATTAGGTGCATTCATACTAGGTGTACAAACCTTTGTGGTTTAGAAGTTAGAAGCTACTTGAAGCTGTCAGATGCGCTTCTCTGGGACTGACCCTGGTATAACAGGACAAGCTAATTGTACCTGGGACCGAAAGACCGCACGGACATGCTCTGAGCGCATACGACATTATAGACATTATTACCCCTTATAACCCAAGCTGCCTATGAGCCTCTAGAGGGTGAGTGGTCACATGACTTATCCTACCGGGTACCCATTCACTGCTGGGTGAATGGTTACAGTTCAGGAAAACCACATTTATGAGGCTCTAGAGGGTTAGATGTGACATAGCCTATGAGGCTCTAGAGGGTTAGTGGTCACAGTTCGGGAAAACCACTTTTCAAAAACAGATAGCCAAATTTGATGTGGCTGTCTCGGCAATAGTTATGGTCGCGTGAGGCGTAGAATGTGGCTCTTCCGGCTATGCTGTCAAAGCATGCTTAGTGATTCAAACAGGTTACCGTATTTAACAAAAGATATGTTTCCTCATGATCTTATTCAGATCACAACAGGGTAATATCTTCATTAGAACAATATAATATACTAATAGGTATATTACGTATAATATCACTTAATAATAATGTATCTTAATCTGTAAAACATAATAATAATATTGATGAGGGCCTGATGATGTACGCCTCAGCGTGGTGGGCGCCAAACGTACAACACCTATCTGAAGCTTCATTGGGACAATGCCATGCCCATGTATGCTTACCTGACGGAGCAAAATCTCCGAGACCAATTGGGGCGGCTTAAAAATCTCGAGCCCCGTGAGCCAGTTGAACCCACAACTGGAGCCCGTCAGGAGCCTTTGCATGAACACAGTGCTCAAGTGGAAGCAGACCCAAAACTTCGGATGGACGTCCGTGTCAACCTCTTTCCCCTTGCTGATGGAAACTCTTCCGGCATAGAGCCAATCGGCCCCCAAATTTCTGATCCAAACTCTTCTTCTTCCTCAGTTGCAGATCTTTCCGAAAAACCTGTTTAATATCACATAAACCCCGAAACTGATAGGGGAATTGTGATTACAAAGACACTATAAAGCATGTAATGGAATTTCGAAGACAATTTTCAGCAGGAATGAGTCTTTATGGTTGATCAACTTCTTTATTGTATATTTGATCATCCATAAGGTCTTGTCATTCCTATTGCATACAACTTCTAGAATGCCTCTCAAACAGTTAGTTTTCAGCAAACTGACAGAAAGCCAAAACATGTAGTGTCATGGTGATTCTTGAAGGTATGGATCAGCAATGTTGTCCGAGTTTGAATCCATGTCCATACCTGGACATAGACTGGGTTTGTTACTTGTTAATAGTCAAACTCCACTGTGTGGTTCAGTGTATATAGTGTAAGTGCATGATCAAAGCGATAACATATTATTACCTGGATAACCCAAGCTGTCTGTGAGGCATTAGAAGGTTAACAGTCACATTACTTATCCCACCGGGTACCCATTCACTGCTGGGTGAACAGAGGCAATTTAGGAACAAATCCACTTGCTTAGGATGAGACCAATATGTGTCACATATGCCTCATTATGGGTCAGAACTGAAGTACCAGAAACTCACAGGAGTCAAGCTGCCAAACACGGTCACCCATCCAAGACTCTCCGCTCCAAGATTGCTTAACTTCAACTGATTAGTGACCTGGGCCTAGATTTTTGGAAGCTCTCTTAGCTAAGATAGTCGTAAGTTAATGTTAATGTATGACACGACTATCGTAGTGCTAAGAGAGCTAGAAAAAAATCTAGGCCTGGGCTCTAATGCACATGACCACACAAGATAAGACGGTGTGTAGATTAGATAAGACTGTATAGATTAGATGCGCCATCATATTTTTTGCAGAGCTCCAGATAAGGTTTAGCTCGTGTGGGTACTGTATGGTACCCACTGTATTTTGGAGTAGGTATTATGAATGTTGAGTGGGTATTTCATTTTGCATAACCCACTGCTTTCAAATATGTGCGTATTTCAGTCATTTTACTCACCTAAGTATATGTCATTGAGTACGTTTACTAAGCAGGTATGTTCTGCCTTATGTCATACCTAATCAAAACCAACTTAAATATAATGGAAATCATTTCATAAAAAAATCACTCATCCTATACTGACAGTACAACACTTGTCCTATACTAACATTACAACTTGATAGCAATCGATGTCTTTTTCATTACGCAAGCGATTTTTATAAATATATTCCGTACGCATTTGTTCTAAACTTTTTGCGTATCTAACATTTTCAATGCGTAATTGGTACGCAACAATTATTTTCAATGCGTAATTGGAAATTTTCTATGCGTATTTTACCCGGATACGCAGCTTATCTGGGCCTCTGTTTTTGAATTTTATGAGTGGATACTGTATGTTATGGAAGTCAATGGGAAATTGAGATGTTTGACCGCATCACTCTGCCTATGGACTGTTGCCATTGCATCCAGGCATCGCTGACTAGTCCATTACACATTCCCTGAACTAGTCACACAAGTGCACAGTTGCAATGGATGGACCTCAGGGGAAAAACTTGAATTAATCTGTGGCTTGGGAGTGTGAGTAATCCCCCCATGTAACACAAGTTTATGTCTGATATTATGTTGCACATTATGCATTGAATTTATGTATGGTTTCCAAAAGTGATATTGCGTTTATTGTGATTAACACTGGCTGATACCATCCTGATTGGTGTGGCCTTCATTTGATCACTGGTACATATAGGTGTTACACAATCAGTCGTGCAAGTAAACACAAACTAGTTGTTTGGGAGCATCTCTTGGAATATCAAAGTAAGTACATATATATTGATACATGTTGGGACTCGAATATCACAGCAAAGGCATGTCATGTCCCTTAAGGTGTCAGGAATCACTATGTAGATTTGTGTCCCTTATGGTGCCATGAATGGCTGTGGAGATTTGTTTTCCTTAAAAAGGTGAAATGAATCACTGTGCAGAAGTCTGATCATAGATACAAGTGCAGGATTTGAAGAAGTAACAGGACTCCTAATAAGGAAATACAGAAGTAGGCAAAGTAATGTAATAGTAGTAATTGGCATAAACCTGAATAGGCATACTACAGGAATAGGCATACCACTGGAATAGGCATACTACAAGAAATAAGCATACTACAGGAATAGGCATACTGCTGGAATTGGCATACTTCAGGAATAGGCATGCTACTGGAATAGGCATACTGCTGGAATTGGCATACTACAGGAATAGGCATGCTACTGGAATAGGCATACTGCTGGAATTGGCATACTACAGGAATAGACATGCTACTGGAATGGGTATACTACAGGAATAGGCATGCTACATGAATAGGCATACTACACGAATAGGCATGCTACAGGAAAAGGCATACTACAGGAATAGGTATATTACTGGAATAGGCATAGTACAGGGGAGGGCGGTGAAATTGGGTTTAACTTCGTACTTAAGAATATTTCACTTCTATGATGATACATGTGTGTGTGTGTCCTTGCTGTACCCAATGCCGAGCGACAGGCAGGGACCAACAAGTACCATATTTTATCCTCTTTTGGTATGACGCTGCCAGAGATAGAACCCGTGACCTTCCTCTCTTACCACTACACGTGGCGGTCGCATACTTCAGGAATAAGCATACTACAGGAATAGGCATACTACAATAATAGGCACACATACTGCATGAATAGACATACTACAGGAATAGGCATACATACTGCAGGAATAGGCATATATACTGCAGGAATAGGCATACATACTGCAGGAATAGGCATATATACTGCAGGAATAGGCATATATACTGCAGGAATAGGCATACTGCAGGAATAGGCATATTACAGGAATTGACATTCTGCAGGAATAGGCATATTACTGGAATAGGCATACTACAGGAATTGGCATACTACAATAATAGGCACACATACTGCAGGAAAAGGTATACTACATGAATAGGCATACTGCAGTAGAAGGCATAACAGAGTAAATGACACACTATGGAAAAGACAGGATGCAGTAATATTTCTAGCATCTGATTTATTTGTGACATGTCTTTAGAAAACGTTTCAAGCTGCAGTCAGTATTTGGGAGTAAAGATCTGTATACGATTGATGAATTTGGTTTTGGTCTAATGAAGACAGACCAAACAAAACCTTGACTAACAGTAATTCTTTCTTTTTCATTTTGCCTCAGATTTGAAAGGCCACTTGTTATAGTTTTCTCCCCAATTAAACTTAACTCTTCATCCACTTGCTTATATTGAAAACCCTGATATGGAGATAAAATATTTATATCTTACTGTGATACTTAGAAACTGTGTTGTATGTTTTAGTTTCATCCAATACAAGCATATATTTTGGTGTAAATTATGTTTATATTTACTGTTATAAAGATTAAATGCGAGTTGCGTTACAAGGTCATAGCCTTAGGAAAGAACATGGAGAGAGTTGGTGTGCATTGTGTTTTGTGTCTGTGTGTATGATGTGTGTGAGAGTGTATATTTTGCGCAGAGATGCCAACCTCTACAATTTTATCGTAGTCGTTACGAATTTTAGCCTCAAACTACGCCAATATGACTGCACTTGAAATTCTATGAAATTTGAAGAAAACTGATTGAAAGTCGGATATATAGACAAAAACATATATACTTAGTCAAAAGAGAAACTTCACATTCTTTCTTCAGGGCACTATAAAAGAACAAGAGATGGTAAGATGTTTGAATTGTTATTATTTCATTGCTGAGATCTGTGTGATGTACTCGATACACTGACAGTGCCATAATCAGTTCCATTAGGCTACACCGCCGTTCCAAAACATGGGTATATAGAATGTCAAGTCACAAGAATAAAAATGCGAAATTTCTCAGTTTAATATCGTGTATGGTCACCCCGCGCATTCACCACTGCCAAACACCGTCTCCTCATCGACTGCCTGATGCTTGTGAACACGTGGTTGGGGATTCTGCGCCACTGCTCTTGCAAGGCAGCGCCAAGTTCCTGCACATTCTGAGGTTGGTTCCTAAGACCACGAAGCCTTCTCCCAAGTGCATCCCAAACGTGCTCTATTGGATTAAGGTCAGGGGACCTCGATGGCCAGTCCATGACGTTGATTCCAGCGTTTTTAAGGAAATTTCGTGTCAACATCGCGGTATGCGGCCGAGCATTATCATGCTGGAAGTGTAGACCTGGGCCATGAGCCACCATGACAGGAACGAGTTCAGGGGTGAGCACCTGGTCGCGTTAAGCAGCAGCTGTGAGGTTTCCACGGATGACCAGAAGTCAGGGACAGTTGTTCCCACAGAAAGCCCCCCACACCATGCAACTTCCGCCCCCTGAATCTGTCGACTTCCTGTACACAACATTGGGCATACCGTTCACGACATCGTCTCCAGACTCTATGCCTGCCGTCCGCGAATCTGAGTGTAGACTCGATTCCAGTCTCTCTGGGTCAATCGGAGGTGACGTTGGGCCCACAGCAAACGTTGACGTTGATGAAACGGCGTCAATATTGGCCCACGATATGGACGTCGAGAATGGAAATTGGCAGCCCGCAACCGATTTCCAATGGTCTGTGAGTACAGTCGACCTCTAAACATCTCAGCTCTGGTTCGTGTAGCCGGCAGAAATCTGTCACGTAGGTGACGTAGGACGATTTGATGGTCTTCTGCTCGTGACGTCACACGTGGACGGCCCGACCTTGGGCAATCAGAAGCAGTGCCAGTTTGTTGTAGACGACCTCGCAAGTCATACACAGTACGACGGCAGCATCGCATTGCTCTTGCGACGTCAATAACTGATCTTCCCGCTTGCAATATGCCAACGGCACGTTCACGTTGCACATTTGACAATCTTGGCAGTTCAAGTACTGTTAGAACTGTGGTTTAAAAGGGTTTTTTCAATTCTTGAGGCCAATGCAAACACGTGCATATGAAGAAAACTTCGATGCGAAGATCACGTGATCGACTGCACGTGCAAAACCTGATTTGGCACTAACGTCATTTGCACGACGAATGGATGGGTTTGAGTGGGTTTTGCTAACGTTTTTCTAGAGTCGAAAGATAGGGATCCCATTTCGGATACATAGATGTATCATCAGAGAAAAATTATTCATTATTTTTCAAATTACATTTTGTGAAGTTTCTTTTTTGACTCAGTATATTTTTGTCTATTAAATACATTTTCGCTAAAAAGAGATCACAAGAAGAAATGTAATGCTGATAATTTGGAAATCTGCTGTTGAAGTTACAATGTATGTGAAATTAAAGTTTCCCTCTTGATTAATGTCATATTATCTTTCTCAGAATCCATCATGATTTTAAGCACAGTTAAATACTAATTTTATGGTCAAACTACTAATTTTGATCCTTGCTACTACTTTTTTGTAACATTTTGGGGTTAGCATCTCTGATTGTGACTTTCACTGGTATCATGTGTATCCCCATAACCGTGGTAACTTCAAGAGCCACGATGAGGTCCGACAGTCAAGACCCTGTATCTGTTGGATCCAGCCATGGCTCGGGACTACCAAGGTTGTTGAATTTTATCACACTGAATGGTTGAAGACATACAACTAGATCTATGGAATCGGATAGAATTATGTCTTGAGACATCTTGTGGCAAATACAGTGGAAAGTACTTTTATCCCCACAGCATGCAATGCAGGGGGATATAGTCGTCGCCTCGTCCGTCCGTAATCTTTTCGTTTCAGGAGCATAACTCAAAGACCGTTCGATATTTTTCAACAAAAATTTGTAGATATGTCCAATATAACCTAAGGTGGTGCCTTTTGCTATTTACAGATTATTGTTATTTTTATTTTTCTCGGTTTCCATGGAAACGTTTTGGACTTAGTCTTAAAGAGGGATGGGCTTCATTTCCGGAGCATAACTCAAAAACCGTTCAATATTTTTCAACAAGACTTGGTAAATATATCAAACAGAACCTTAAATGGTGCCTTTTGCTATTTGCAGATTTTTGGCATTTTTATTTTTCCTGGTTTCCATGGAAACAAATTGAACTTAGTCTCAAAGGGAGGTGGGCTTCGTTTCCAGAGCACAAATCGAAAACTTCTTAATATCTTTCAGCAAAACTTGACCGATATGTGAGGCAGATCCCAAAGTGGTGCCTTTTGCTATTTGCAGACTTTTGTGATTATTATTTTCTCGGTTTCCATGGAAACGATTCGGACTTAGTCTCAAAAGGGAGGGGTGGGCTTCGTTTCCAGAGCATAACTCAATAACCGTTCAATATTTACCAACAGAACTTGGTAGATATAACAAACAGAACCTTCAGTGGTGCCTTTTGTTATTTGCAGATTTTTGGCATTTTTATTTTTCCCGGTTTCCATGGAAACAAATTGAACTTAGTCTCAAAAGGGAGGGGTGGGCTTCGTTTCCAGAGCACAACTCGAAAACTTCTCAATATCTTTCAGCAAAACTTGACCGATATGTGAGGCAGATCCCAAAGTGGTGCCTTTTGCTATTTGCAGACTTTTGTGATTATTATTTTCTCGGTTTCCATGGAAACGATTCGGACTTAGTCTCAAAAGGGAGGGGTGGGCTTCGTTTCCAGAGCATAACTCAAGAACCGTTCAATATTTACCAACAGAACTTGGTAGATATAACAAACAGAACCTTCAGTGGTGCCTTTTGTTATTTCCAGATTTTTGGCATTTTTATTTTTCCCGGTTTCCATGGAAACGATTCGGACTTAGTCTCAAAAGGGAGGGGTAGGTTTCGTTTCCAGAGCACAACTCAAAAGCTTCTCAATATCTTTCAGCAAAATTTGGCCGATATGTGAGGCAGATCCCAAAGTGGTGCCTTTTGCTATTTACAGATTTTTGTCTTTTTTAATTTTCTAGGTTTCCATGGTTTCCATTTAGACTTAGTCTCAAAAGGGAGAGGTGGGTTTCGTTTCAAAAACTTCTTAATATCTTTCAGTAAAACTTGGCAGCTATGTGATGCAGATCTTGAAGTGGTGCCTTTTTGCTGTTTGCAGACGTTTGTCATTTATGTTTTTCATCATTTCCATGGAAACGATTTGCACTTAGTGTAAAATCAAGCTGGACTTTAAGTAACTGTCAGATGATTTATTCTTTCAAAGATGTGGGGGCCGGGGGATATGTCATCTTCTGATGACTCTTGTTTGATACAAACTATACTTTTATGATAAAAACTGAGGTCCTTTAAATGCTACAGTAAATAACATTTAAAATAAACTCAAAGGGACCTTAATTTTTTATTTGCTATAATCATACATTGTTTACCTTCTCAGGTGATACAATAATGCGTCATTTGATGTCAAAGCTAAACTTCAGGAGTACTACAGAAATTACCACAGAAATTGTATATTATATTTCATATGCCTTTCTGACCATGTTTTGAATGGACATCAAGTCTCATGAACCAACATTTATTATGAATAAAGTACATAAGTCCATGGTGCTTGTATTTCATTATCATTTGTTCTTTTAATGTTGTCAGCAGAACAGCATGGCATCAGTGTTCACAGCTGATATATGTCCTGTGAGCAGTAGAAGTGGTCAGTTCAACGTGCCAATGTGTTCAATGTATCTAGGATGGTCATGTAAGACTGATATGATTTGATTTCATAGATGTGAACTTACTTTGAGAATACATGGTATCACACAATGTAGTAACATTATCGGTGACATGTCAACTTACTGCCATAAAACATTGCGTCACACTATGTAGTAACATTATCGGTGACATGTCAACTTACTGCCATAATACATGGTATCACACAGTGTAGTAACATTATCGGTGACATGTCAACTTACTGACAGAATACATGGTATCACACAATGTAGTAACATTATCAGTGACATGTCAACTTACTGTCAGAATACTTGGCGTCACACAACGTAATAACATTTCATAGTATAATCATAAAAGTTACAAAAACCTTTCCCTAATCACAAGAAAGTCCACTGACTACATGTCAACTTTGTGTCAGAATGCATGGCATCACACAATGCATTAACATATCCTGGTGACCCCATAGAAATAGAAGCAATAAAAATATTTCTATATTCTTTAAAGCGATGAAAACTGTTAAAATCCTAAACTAAAAGCGTGAAAACCCTTTCCAATCATCACATAATCAAAGCAAAAGTATCGTTTGTATAAGCATAAAAGTTACAAAAAACTTTCCCTAATCACAAGAAAGTCCATTGACTACATGTATGTCATAAGCATGCATTTATGAATAAGTATCAGCACATTATTATGCCACATTATCTTGAAAACGTGAGAGTATGCTGTCCGACTGGCGGCACCCAATCTGATGAAACACAGGAACATATGACACAAGTAAGGGGCCCCAACACAAGGGAGGTACTAGGTAAAAGCCACCACAAGAACACAACCAGTCTCGATTATCCGTCCAGTGACTCTATGGGTTGTGACATGCAAGATAGCTGCGAAATTTCTATAACTAGATCACTGCTAATCTACAAACACATTCTCTTAATCAGTTCCGGGTTGCTAACTTCAAATATGTCCAATGACAGGTACATAAAATTAAGTATAAGGAACAATTGTCTGAACTTCCCAAAATGATAGGTTCTTTAAACCACTCCAAATTGATTCTTGTAACCTTAAGAGGATGTTTTTTGTCGACTGTGTGACCAGATCAGTCACCGGAGATCTACGTTATGATAGTGTAGAATACCAAACATCAAAACCACAATAATGATAGCGATCACAAATGGTACCAAGTTTACTGTACTCTCCCCTTTAACCCTCGAAGGGTGCCGGTCATGCCTGCTCTCCAACATGTATTGAGAGAGTTCTGTTCCTTCAGTTCTTTTCTTTCGAACTTTGGAAATCTCCTTCACAATGCTTCGATGTTTATTTTCAAAAGCTAACTCACGAGCTGTTTTGTTGTCTTCATCTACCTTCTGAGTGTCTACCTTCTCCCTGAGAAAGAGTTTTACTATTTTTAGATGTCCTTCCTCGGCAGCAATGTGAAGAGGAGTTCTTCCCGTCCCATCAGACAAGTTCGGATCAGCCTTGTTTCTGAGAAGGGATTGTACAGTTTCAATGTGGCTGCCCTGAGTTGCTAAGTGCAGCGCAGTTTCAGATTTCTCGGTCATCAGGTTAACCTCGCTCTTGTTTTGCAAAAGTCTTCCTAATACATATTCATAACCCCACATGGCTGCGTAGTGAATCGGTGCCATGCCATGAATATCTTTAAGATCCACAGACACACCTCGGACAAAACGCTTTCCGTCTTGTCTAGAAGTAGCTGAATTTCTTTCTATGCTGAGAAGGGGATCCACAACAGAGTATCGTCCATTTGTAGCTGCAATATGGAGAGGCGTCATCCTGTCCATGTTTCCTTTCTGAATGTCTAAACCTTCTTTTAAGAGAAGTTTGATCACCTCTGTCTGGCCCTTTATTGCTGCCAGATGCAAGGCCGTGTTTCCAAAGGCATCACAGTGATTAATGCATCTATGATCTGTTTTCAGTGACAATTCTAGAATAGACACAGACCCAACAAGTGCTGCTATCAGAAAGCTTGTCCGACCATACTTATCTTTGAGTAGTGTATTGGCTCCAGCTTTTATCAAAGTTTCTGCCACCTGTTCATGCTTACAATACAAAGCCATTGCCAACGCGGTCTCCCCTTTCTTATTCAGAACATCAACATCAATTTCATCCTGATTCAAGAGGAGAGATAACAGTTCCAGGTTATCCGAGCTGGCTGCGTAGTGAAGGGCTGTGTTGCCCCGTTTACTGGTGGAGTTGACATCCACATACTTCAACAAAACCTGACATCCTTCTGCATGATTCCACTTAGCACAGGTTCTAAATAATTCTCCTACGTTGTATCTCTTTTGCTGCAGCATGGGAGCATTTTTCTCGATCTTCTCGATAAGCAGTCTCATGAGTCTTACATTACCATATCTGCTACACATACGAAGGCATTGCATTGTGGAAATACCTCCTGAAGCTACTTCCAACAATTTCAGTTCTAAGGAGGGTATGTTGCAAATAGGAATGAAGGACAGTATTTGTTTCTTTGAGTGTGCATCTCTCATTTTGAAATTCTCTCTTTGAAGCAGTGTTTGAATTGCGTCGCATACGACTGGGTGTGTCAGTGACATGTGAGACATGACAAACTGAAGATGACCTTTCAACAGTTCTTCACACAGACGTTGTGCAAGAACCGTTGCTGACTTTTGGTGGACGATAATGGCATAATCAAAGTCTGCAACTTCATTTGGCTCCAAGCGGACGTGCTCTAAATACTTGAGACTGCAATGAACTATAAATGTAGTTTCATCAAGTTCAGCTAAAACCTTCGCAACTACCTCTGAAGTCCATGCGTGTGAGAACACGAATCCATGAGCTGACTTCTTAAGGATGTAGCTGTCCATCTGTGTAAGTGCCTCAGAGAGCTGCTTACTTCTCAAAGGAGATGCCCCGGCCGCTGTGCACAGTCTTCCTAGTTCCACATTTGAGAGTTCAGCTGGATGTGGGATGCAGTCCTGATGGATACAGATTTGTAAAGAAGACAGAATCCCTTCATTGACCATCAAGTTCTTGAGGATTTGTCGAAACCTACTTTCCCTGTCCATGGCCTGAGTGTTAAAAACTTCATGTCTTAGTGTTATCATCATACACAACTTGTGTAGCAGGGGTGATGTTGTCTTTGAACAATCAGTGACATGATCATTTGATGTTTTATCAGCTGTCCTGTCAGTATCCAGTGTTATTTTCTCTTCTGCTTTATAAATCTTTTCAAAGTCAATTCTTTGATGTTCAGAAAAAAATGTATTTTTGAAAGGAGTGATATATTTGAGTGCTGTTTGAAACACATTTTTCCTGAACAGGAATATTGTATATACCACTTGACATCTTGAAGCCGACGCTACTTGTTCCTGACTTACGTCTAGCAGGACAGGATGCCATTTTCGGTAGTGGTCAAACTGAAAGTTGGGATTGCCAAAAATGTTGCTGAAAAGAATGATATACCTGTCACTCTTTTGGATCCGAAAATAATCCTGTGGTGTTTCCACAACATAAACTTTCCATTTCTTTCTGTGCATTTCAGACAAAACCTGGAAAGCAAGAGTAGTTTTGCCATCACCAGGCTGACCAATGATCGTTGTACAAGAATGTTCCTTAAGGCATTTTGTCACATGAGGCAGCAACGGTGAAGATGCCGTTCCTGAAATACATTGCTTGATGGTTTGCTCAGCGCAGTCTGAAATTGGAATATGCAGTCATAAATATTCATCATAGTGGTATTTTAACTAAATATTTTGTGCAAGATTGACGGTTTGGCATTTGAACACAAGAGCTGAAAAAACGTCTGAACGTTTTTAGAAATTCCTGTTAGATCAGATGAGCAATGAATACATGACATTTGTCTGGATAACAACTTCTCTTTTTTTGTTCTTCATAGGATGTTTCAGAGATAATTCTTTCTCCTTCATCAAGTGAATACTGAGTCAAAAGTGCACAGAGTCAAGGTGGAGAATTTACAAAGATGACAATATAATAACATTGCCACAAACATAATGTAAGGCAGCATTAGACAAAGCGTATTCGGAAATAGTCCTACCACGTAGACTGTCATCTCTTGACTTATCTTGCAGCTGTATTTCACCTGCTTCCCTTGCATCATCACTTGATTGTATTGCCTCCATGTCGTCATCATCAGATTCAGTCACCTCCGACCAGTACCCATCCTCATTTCTAGAACGGCTCATGTCATCAGCACTTTCATAAGTAGATGTTTCTCCAGAGAAACTGAGTTCTGAAAGTAAGTGAATCATAAAAGATCACAATACTTGTAAGTACAAATGCAGCATGGAAAATCAAAACATGAATGACATCAGCTGCATCGTTCAATTTCCTGTATCATAAGCTTGCGATGATACTAGGTGGGAAAAGGTATGTTGCAACATCACACACAGCGACAGACAGCAAACAGGAAGGAAAGGCTGAACCATTACTTTGTCATACAGTTTTTTTCCATGTCAAGAATAAGAATCCTGATGTATAGATCCAAATGCTTTTGAAATGGACAAGGCTGTTTCACTGTTTCGTTGATATTTAGCTAATGTTATATATGAGTGGAAGGGAACTGGCTATTTGTCCATTATGGAATGATATCTTCCATATACCAGGCCCACATTTCTCGAAACAAAAGTTCTTACTCAAATTTCTAACTGAGTTTGACAGTTTGAAACAGCTAAATTATCACTTTTCTCGGTGAACTTTATTTTAAATCCTTTTATTTTTATGAACCCATATGGTATTTATTCCACTGGTCCTAAATACTTTCGGAGAATATATAAAAATTCTAACTTAGGAAAAAAAATAGACATAGTTTGTTTCGAGAAATCGGGACCAGACTCTTAAGTCGGACATCTTTGCAAAATCCTCTTGTTCAGATTTTTGTTCAAACCTGATGACTCGGTAAAGAAAATAGAAAAGGTGGAACACATGGTGACGTTTACTCTGATCAATGTCCTCTCACTGAATGTCTCACTGTGTTGTCTATGAGAAGTCCACATTTCACTTTTCTCAGTGAACTTTATTTTAAATCATTTTATTTTTATGAACCCATATGGTATTTATTCCACTGGTCCCAAATACTTTCGGAGAATATGTACAATCATTCTTCCACATTTAGTTTCAGCAATACGGTCACTATTTGCAACATGGATTTGGTTGTACATTTTCCTGGACCCAGCATTATATCTCTATTTGTCAGATTGTCTTGTAGCATGAGATTGCCCATGAATCACAAAAGCCTTTCCTTACAATGTTTTGAGAGCCTTTTAGAGTATTAGTATATATATTTTTTATTATCAATTTACAGTGGAGTCAAAATAATGAATTGGTTTGTTCTTACCACTGTTGTCGTCTCTCAATTCATCTGCACGCTCAAGGGAATGCGGTCCTTCGTGTGTGGCGTTTTCTTGAGCTGTCAGAATATCAAAGCAAATTTGATATAATATCAGTGTGATATACATTTTAAACTCTCTGATTTCGTTCTTCCTGTTGTAAGAATATCTAATGTAGATTAGTTTACAACCAGTTAGTAATTCCATTACATAGTTACCCTCAGAATTGTGGAAAAGCCAAATGACAGTTTGTCCACTTCTTTCATGGTCTGGTTGAAGTTTCTTGATGTCATTCATTTTCATATTGGCTCCGACGATGTGTTGTATTTCAGGACAGTTATATCTAGAAACGTCTTCCAGTTCTTCAGAAGCAAGTATATGAGACACAATATCTGCATGTTGTTCTCTGGAAAAATAAAGATATATTATTTAGTCCAAATCCTCAGTTATCATGGTAAATACATCACCTTCTTACAGGTACCCATTGGGCAGTGCAGAAAACACACGTTAGCATTGGCCTGGTAAGGTATGGAACAGCTATGGTGGTTGTATATATTCCGAATTATGAGTCCAATCACTCACTGCAGCTTTTTCTTGAGGTCCTCCTGGACAAGAAGGATGGTTGGTCCCCTCTTCTCTAGCCTCCTTGCAACTTCGATCATAAGTATCTCTGAACATCCATCTGCTTCTGTACTTGTGGCCTTGTCAATCACTACCATGTCCTTATCAATGTTTTCCACCAACATGCAGAACTGTTGTTTGGACAGTAAGCGCAGTTCCGGTTTCATGCTGTGTCCTTCTGTGAGATCAGTAACTGCTACTGCAGCAAGAAAGGCACGTATTATGTTCATACATTTCACATTGTTCATGCTAAGTGCATGCAAGCTGCATAAAGCAGAGGTTTTCTCTTCAATTGACCTCAAGGCATCGGCGAATAGGTTGTCTGATTCTAAATCACCAGGGTCCAGGAGACCATAGACTGCACTGAAATGTTCATCTGTATACTTCCGGATTTGATTTATTGCTCTCCGGGCAAGACGGAGAACATATTTCCCGAGATCGTCTCTTTTCTCACACACAAAGCAGAGGATCATTGATGGACGATCTGGAAGAACATAGAACACTTCCGATATCACTCCATCGGGTATATCAACCTTCGGAAGATTCAACACCACTGCTAGTGATCTTGTCACAAAGGACAATCCTCCTTCGAAATGTTTTCCATGAGACTGAATTCTCTGGTATATGCTGTCGTACATGATGTTAGCAGTCCTTGGTGGATATACCGACAGTTTACCTGAAGAAACAAAGCATTATGAATAAAAACATCCTTCACTGGTCGTCTGATTGTTCAATAAATAATAAATGATAGAGGAATGTTAACCTATATGATATTCTCGTGATTAATACGATAATCCAGTTATACCCTCTGCCTTCATAACCTCACGATTATAAACAAAATGTTACTTCCACTCAAATGTAACCAATTTGTCCCACTTAAGATTTTGTCATCATAATGTATGCTGTGAATACGTCACCAGAAGTGAGGACATGCGTCTGGATTGCTTCAAATAGTTCCTCTTGCAGTCGGACCCTCGGAAGAAGTGGGGAGTTACTTGGCCATGAAACTACACCTTCTGTGTTTCGTGATTCTGAAAGAGTGAGTGTGTTTAGCACAGGTTTTGGTGATATCACAACATGGCAAGTAATGTTAGGAAATAAAGATCTCAAATATCATCCCTCGGATGATGACAAACAAACAACCTTGATCTCTGTGACCAGAACTGAAATGTAAGACATTTTCGCGGGATAATGCAACATTTCCAATGAGCATTTTGTTTTAGATTATGTCTAAATAGATATTTGTTGATAATGTGTGTCTCTTTACTGATTTAAAAGTATAAACAAAGGGTAGAGGGCGTTTACCTTTCATATAGGCAACACCGGCCATGGTACACACTCTTTCCTTCACCTGGATAACGTACAATATTAATAACAAGATAAAGTTGAATGTGAATGATATAACCATTAAGTTTTACGAACATGTAGAAAACAGGATTCGAGGGATCATTCAACGGGACACGCGTCTGGATCACATCTGTTTAAACAGTTTTGAAGTAAGTGTAATAATGACCTCAGCTAGTCCCACGAGAAATGTTTCGGTACTCCTACAACCACAAACCATCTTTACAGCTTGATTGTCAGTTGGACATATGCAATGTTTCAGCTGCCTACAGTCCGAAACTTTTGTTTATCCTGTGATGATTGAGATTATAAGCAACAAGTCATTTTCACTATCATAATAGGGCGGAATACCAATTACTGGTATAATATTTGACTTGTAACTTTCTCCTTGAAGATAACGTTGAAAATGACAGGACACACCCTCAAGGGCTATTGGTCCCTTCAGTCAGTCAGATTGTCCGGTATAAAAATGTGTCCACTTATCAAATCACTCCTTCTTGTCGTCTGATATAACTCATTTGGGCTGACGATAAGGTTGGAAAGACTTCACTTTTTCAAGCCACTCGGAGAAGTCTACCGCTTTCATTTGATTACTCCCCTCAACCATGGTGTATACTTCTGGCGTATCATAGAAGACGCATCCAGGCGTGTACCCAACTGCAACTTCAAGGATGTACACTTGGCCTCTGCCCACTTCATGAAACTTGAATTTCACCAGCGAGTCTGCACTACATGGTTGGGCTGCATTCCCTTTTTGAACTAATGTGTGTTGCCTGATCAACTCTGTCAAACCAATTTTTACAGTCTCGTGTAAACTCGGTTCAACACGAATCCCAGAAAGGATCTTGGACTTTGTCTTGTAATCATAACCAGTAATGTTTTTTAAATCTTCGCCTATTCCTAGGTAATAGGAACCACCATCTTGGTTTTTTGTGAAACAGGAAATGTATTCTCTCAGTCTGAGATCCTTCCAAATGTATTTCAGTACTTTTTGAACATTTGATTGTGTAATTTTTCCATCAAATGATGTCTTGTCAAATGCTTTAAATTCGATATCCCTGCCTTCCTGGATGAAATTGTCTAGGCCTCTTATTCTTGGACCTTTTTCATTTTGTTGTTGCTCGTTGAACAACAATTTTTGAACATTGAGGGTTGTTGGACGAGTTAAGTTTTCGTCGGAAGTCACCTTGGTTTTGAAATCTGCTGTAGTCAAAGAAAGGGATGACTTAACAATAAGCAGCAGATACTCTTGGTATCCTTTCCTCTTCGTGTGTTCACTCAACCAGATTTTCCTGTATGTGTCTACAAACAGAACTCCGTCTTCTATCAGTTTTGTTAACGTGTCATCGACATATTCGTTAAAGAGCGCGAGACAGCGATCATCGGGTGACAGACCTTTCAGATGAACGAACAAAGCCCCTCCTCCAGCGTTCCGCAAGGCTGAAACCTTTTTGGTCAGCTCTTTGATTTTATCCTCCCTGGCAGTCTTCCGGGTTTTCTTATCTTCCTTTTTGAGTGATATGTTGACCAGGGTGGCTTTGATGTCGATTGTTAGGCGAAATGGCTCTTGTAAAGGGATGTCGTCATCATTAACCACAGTCTCACACAGACCACAGCCATCTGAAATCATTGCATTGATTGTATTCTCACAAAACAGGAAATACGTTGGCACAGTAAACTATCAGTAAGATAGAACGAATCTAAAATAGAAAGATTAAGAAATTAAAATTATACAAAGGTTAGATAGGACGTTATTACTGGTTATTACTGGTTAACGTGTAAACCATCATCTCTACTCAGTGAAATTTCCAGACATGATTGTGAAGCTAAGGCGGATCAACTCATCCAGTATCGTTTCAGATTATAAACAATACAAGTAATGACAAGTAATACTTCCTGTTATCATATCCTGTGTTGCATCGTTGTACAGTATCAAAGAATTTCAGACTTTTACTTATATTTTTGATTACGAAAACAGTGCGTCAATGTTAACTTTTGGTGCTTGCAGGTTGTACTTATTTTGTACAAATATAACTATGACAGGACTGCATTGTCGTTCAATTGATTAACCAGGCACATGCTTCAAAACAGTTCATTCTGGATGCTTACGCTATCCCTTGGCAACAGCCGCCGGATATTGATTGTGGTATTTCTGCCTTGAGAATCAATGCATTCGAAGGACAAAACAGGACCTGACTACCAGTAAACAACATGTCACATCTGTTGAGGTGCACTATCACTCCTGCTCAGAAGCATTGTGATCAAGCGTACAATATTCAAAGCCTCCCTAAAATTTTGAGAAAGTTTAGTAGTAGACAAGTGTTTGATCAGTTCCAGTTGTATCATCGTTATGTGAGAGTGATTCATACCCAGATGCCAATCGACACACAGCCCTTCCGGGATGAACTAAAGTATTAACACTACTACCCCTACTCAACAAGTACCTGTCACCTGATGAACTAAAGTATTAATACCACTACCCCTACTGAACAAGTACCTGTCACCTGATGAACTAAAGTATTAACACCACTACCCCTACTTAACAAGTACCTGTCACCTGATGAACTAAAGTATTAACACAACTGCCCCTACTCAACAAGTACCTGTCACATGATGAACTAAAGTATTAACACCACTACCCCTACTCAACAAGTACCCGTCACCTGATGAACTAAAGTATCAACACCACTGCCCCTACTCAACAAGTACCTGTCACCTGATGAACTAAAGTATCAACACCACTACCCTACTCAACAATTACCTGTCACCTGATGAACTAAAGTATTAACACCACTACCCCTACTCAACAAGTACCTGTCACCTGATGAACTAAGGTATTAACACCACTACCCCTACTCAACAAGTACCTGTCACCTGATAAACTAAAGTATTAACACCACTACCCCTACTCAACAAGTACCTGTCACCTGATGAACTAAAGTATTAACACCAGTGCCCCTACTCAACAAGTACCTGTCACCTGATGAACTAAAGTATTAACACCACTGCCCCTACTCAACAAGTACCTGTCCCCTGATGAACTAAAGTATTAACACCACTGTCCCCTAGTATTAACACCACTGCCCCTACTCAACAAGTACCTGATGAACTAAAGTATTAACACCACTGCCCCTACTCAACAAGTACCTGTCCCCTAATGAACTCAAGTATAAACACCACTACCCCTACTCAACAAGTACCTGTCACCTGATGAACTTAAGTATTAACACCACTACCCCTACTCAACAAGTACCTGTCACCTGATGAACTAAAGTATTAACACTACTACCCCTACTCAACAATTACCTGTCACCTGATGAACTAAAGTATTAACACCACTGCCCCTACTCAACAAGTACCTGTCACCTGATGAACTAAAGTATTAGCACTACTACCCCTACTCAACAATAAGCTGTCACCTGATGAACTAAAAGTATCAACACCACTACCCCTACTCAACAATTACCTGTCACCTGATGAACTTAAGTATTAACACCACTGACCCTACTCAACAAGTACCTGTCACCTGATGAACTAAAAGTATTAACACCACTACCCCTACTCAACAAGTACCTGTCACCTGATGAACCAAAGTATTAACACCACTACCCCTACTCAACAAGTACCTGTCACCTGATGAACTAAAAGTATTAACACCACTACCCCTACTCAACAATTACCTGTCACCTGATGAACTAAAGTATTAACACCACTACCCCTACTCAACAAGTACCTGTCACCTGATGAACTAAAGTATTAACACCACTACCCCTACTCAACAAGTACCTGTCACCTGATGAACTAAAGTATTAACACTACTACCCCTACTCAACAATAAGCTGTCACCTGATGAACTAAAAGTATCAACACCACTACCCCTACTCAACAATTACCTGTCACCTGATGAACTAAAGTATTAACACCACTACCCCTACTCAACAAGTACCTGTCACCTGATGAACCAAAGTATTAACACCACTACCCCTACTCAACAAGTACCTGTCACCTGATGAACCAAAGTATTAACACCACTACCCCTACTCAACAAGTACCTGTCACCTGATGAACTAAAGTATTAACACCACTACCCTACTCAACAAGTACCTGTCACCTGATGACCAAAGTATTAACAACTAAAGTATTAACACCACTACCCCTACTCAACAAGTACCTGTCACCTGATGAACTAAAGTATTAACACCACTACCCCTACTCAACAAGTACCTGTCACCTGATGAACTAAAGTATTAACACCACTACCCCTACTCAACAAGTACCTGTCACCTGATGAACTAAAGTATTAACACCACTGCCCCTACTCAACAAGTACCTGTCACCTGATGAACTAAAGTATTAACACTACTACCCCTACTCAACAAGTACCTGTCACCTGATGAACTAAAGTATTAACACCACTACCCCTACTCAACACGTACCTGTCACCTGATAAACTAAAGTATTAACACCACTACCCCTACTCAACAATTACCTGTCACCTGATGAACTAAAGTATTAACACCACTACCCCTACTCAACAAGTGCCTGTCACCTGATGAACTAAAGTATCAACACCACTACCCCTACTCAACAATTACCTGATGAACTAAAGTATTAACACCACTACCCCTACTCAACAAGTGCCTGTCACCTGATGAACTAAAGTATCAACACCACTACCCCTACTCAACAAGTACCTGATGAACTAAAGTATTAACACCACTACCCCTACTCAACAATTACCTGTCACCTGATGAACTAAAGTATTAACACTACTACCCCTACTCAACAATGACCAATGAACTAAAATTATTACCTGTCACCTGATGAACTAAAGTATTAACACCACTACCCCTACTCAACAATTACCTGTCACCTGATGAACTAAAGTATTAACACCACTAGCCCCTACTCAACAATTACCTGTCACCTGATGAACTAAAGTATTAACACCACTACCCCTACTCAACAAGTACCTGTCACCTGATGAACTAAAACAGTATTAACACCACTACCCCTACTCAACAAGTACCAACAAGTCACCTGTCACCCTGATAAACTAAAGTATTAACACCACTACCTATCCCCTACTCAACAATTTACCTGTCACCTGATGAACCAAAGTATTAACACCACTGCCCCTACTCAACAAGTACCTGTCACCTGATGAACCAAAGTATTAACACCACTGCCCTACTCAACAATTACCTGTCACAATCATTCACGTTAAAACTTCACATGAGTAAAACATATGATGATGTATTTTAAACATGAAACGTGATCAAGACTAGCACTGAGATGGGCGACTGTCTGATTAAGCTCACAGTCATTGCTTCGAAAGCATATGTCTATGTTTTGTGTTAACAGATGCAGTCAAACATTTGTTAAACTGCGTCTAGTTACACTCAATCGCCACCTTAATATAATTCCACTAACACTATTGTCAGCGTCTACGTCTTTATAACAGAGTCGTGGATCAACTGGAGGCTCCAATTAAATAATTCTCTAAGTACACAATGAAATGTCTACTTTTGACACATATCAATGATTGAATAATGTCCAGGAGACCAGATATTAGCCCCAAATCGTGGAGCACAATATTAGAAATCTCGGCTGCATTCCTCATATCGATACAGTGTGTGATGCGGTGATATAGCACAATGTTTTCAGGACATTGTTTTAGAAATACCGGCTTCATAAGTAGAGGAACCGCCTTTAAGTGGCATTTAGAAGCTGGAATGATGAAGAGTAACACTTTTTATGGATAGACAACTTCTTTGTTGCAGTAGTTGCGACGTTTTGGCGTAGATCCTAACACCGTTATCAAGCAAATCATTTGTTAGGATCTACACCGAAACGTCGCAACTACTGCAACAAAGAAGTTGTCTATCCATAAAAAGTGTTCCTCTTCATCATACCAGCTTCTAAATGCCACTTAAAGACGGTTTGATAACAATTAACACTCACCTTGAACGTTCATCTGAGACGTTGGTCTGAGGCGTAATCGCTCTACGTAATACGAGCACTATGCACAGTTACTGAGATCCAAATAATTGTGCATGACGTTCCGATACACAAACAATACAACTTGCATGGTGGACCGCAATATCCATATCGATCCGCACATTTCCAGTTAGTACGTAGGTATGTAGGTAAGAACAGTGAAGCCTCGTTAATCCGGACGGTTGCGTTTCTCAGCAAATTCGTCCGGATTGCGAATAGTCCGGACTACTGAATCAAGACCCAAATTCAAGCAAGAGTTGCTTCCCTTACTTTAACAAAAACGACACGAATCTGGATAAAACAAATAAGCATTTAATGTAAAGCTTATAAAACAATGAATAGCAAGCACAACAATAATCTATAGTCATAGCAAAAAGTCTTTCATTGTTGTTTGTGTTCGTTTAACCTTCCGCATTGAATTCATCACATGAATAATTTTACCGAGTGACATCCGCATGTTGATCCGACGTGTCTGATCACGTCCTTCCTCAGCACAGGTGAGGTAATATCTAACAAGCGATCTATTGTAGTATGCCTTGAATGTCCAAATTATTCAAAATCACTTTGAGTCCACGTGACCGCATCTGTCTGTCAAAGTAACCAATCACAAAATAGCTCACTTATCATCAACGCCTTTTATTGTGGTGTCAATCAAAATGTAAATGTACAGCATCTTCAGTCGGGAGATTTTAATGTCTAATTAAAACAACAACCCTTAATAGACATTTCTCAAAAGTTAACAAGAGTTCATCTTGTCAACTCCATGACATTGAGTTTTTATTGTTTATGGCCGGTTAAGTAAACATCACCGTGGGGTGTTGTTATGGCTCGTGAACACGACTTGCAGGGTCCGGACTGTGAAGCAATTTACTGTTAATTTTACTGATTGGTTACAGCTACTTACCGTCAGGTTCCGGAAACCGAATTTCCGGATTATCGAGGCAAATTAATTAGGCATAGATTGGTAACAAGCTAAAATCGTCCGGGAGGCGAGACATCCGGATTATCGGAGTATTTAGGTAGTTGGGTATGTGGGTACTTATCGCCCAAAACAAAATTTCGCCCCAAATAATCTTCCTACAAGAAACAAAATTATCACCAAAATTCGCCTTTAAAATTCCAGGCTACAATTATATCAGGAAAGACAGACCTCGGCCAATAAACCTCCCAGGTCCCCCAGCTGGGGACCTGGGGATATTTATCTCAAACAAACTAAACTATTCAGAAATTGATATTCCAACCACTAACCTAGAAGTCCTGGCTATCAAAACAACAATTAATAATAAATTATTAACATTTATAAATATCTACAGAAGACCCTCCATTAAACTTATACCTCAAGATTTAGACAACATAGCAAAATTCTTAACGCCCAACACCTTTATCCTTGGAGACCTAAACTCTCACCATCCATTATGTGGCACAAAATCTTATACTGATAACAACGGCATTCTCCTATCAAACTGGCTAGACGACCAAAACCTCATCACCCTAAACGACAACCAACCCACTAGATACCCTCCCTCCCACGTCCAATCACCTACAGCAATCGACCTAACTATCACCACCCCTACATTTTCAAAATCTTGCCTATGGGAGGTACACTCAGACACCTGGGGCAGTGACCACTGCCCCATCAAAATTACCATATCTACATTTCTTGCACCAGAACCACAAACAAACCCTTATACTACCCCCACTCCCAGCACAGAAATCAAATACAATGTACACAAAGCAGACTGGAATAAATTCACTAAACTATGCAAACAAGTAGACCCATCTAACATTATTAACACCGATACAGAAACTTTTAACACACAGCTTACCAACACCATTATTGACATAACAAATACATGCATACCCACCTTTCGGACCACCCAAGCACAGAAAACAGTCCCATGGTGGAGCCCAGATATTATCAATGCCAGAAAGGCACGAAAAAAGGCCCTCAACAAATCAAAGAGGGACCGTTCAAAATTATATTTGGCCAAAAAACTCAGAAACGACACGAAACAACTAATCAAAGCAGCAAAAAAGGAACATTGGAAAACATTTTGCTCGACCCTGAGGCTAAACCAACACAACTCCAGGAAAATGTGGAAATTTTTTAAAGCTATTCAGGGGAATTCCAAAACTATAATTGAACCAAACCTTCCGAACCTCCCCACAAATAAAGAAAAAGCTAATACAGTTGCTGCCCACTTTTCGAAAACTAGCAGCTCCACCAACTACACAGCAAATTTCCAAAACATCATCAAAAACCAACCACCCTACTCACCTGAACCACCCCACTTACACCTACCCATAAACAAAAACATAAATATACACGAACTCAAGGCAGCCCTCAAACATGATGTAATTTTGATTCAATATTTTTATATTTATGTCCACTTTCAATGACTGGTCCTGAATTAATTGATTTACTTATTTGGTAATTTAAACCCGTGGGGCTTCTTCTCCTTTTTGTTTTTAAAAACTCAATGAGTATTATCATTTTATTATTTTTTCCTTTTTTGTGTGTTTATTTTGTAAAAGCTTTCTTTGAAAAACCTGACCAATTTTCAACAAAACATTTTCACAATTATCTTATTTCGGGTGCACGTGTGCTTGATGACCTTTTGGTTTCACAATGTGATCCCACTGTCGGCTTTTCTAAATCTTTTGTAGATACATATGTTACATGTCTGTTGACATAACGCAGTACAGGCAGGCAGTGGGATGCTTTGCAGTTACACTTCATGCAAGAAATGCATATAATCTTCAGGTTTATCATGTTTATATACTCAATGAGTATTATCATTTTATTATTTTTTCCTTTTTTGTGTGTTTATTTTGTAAAAGCTTTCTTTGAAAAACCTGACCAATTTTCAACAAAACATTTTCACAATTATCTTATTTCGGGTGCACGTGTGCTTGATGACCTTTTGGTTTCACAATGTGATCCCACTGTCGGCTTTTCTAAATCTTTTGTAGATACATATGTTACATGTCTGTTGACATAACGCAGTACAGGCAGGCAGTGGGATGCTTTGCAGTTACACTTCATGCAAGAAATGCATATAATCTTCAGGTTTATCATGTTTATATATTTTATTTTAACTTTAGATGCTTGTATCAACCGTCTATTTCCATATTTATCACCATCCTTTTACTTTGTTGCGGAGATATTCACCCAAACCCGGGACCAAATAATGATAGAAACCTAGAGATAATACATCTCAATGTCAGAAGTCTTAAAGATAAAATTGACATCATTCATGCAGAATTTTTAGACTTTGATGTGATATGTTTAACAGAAACCTGGCTGAATGATAATATTAATAGCAATGATATACTAATTCCAGGTTTTCACATTCCATTTAGAAAAGATCGTTTAACAAGAGGCCGCGGCTTGGCCATTTATGTCAAAGAATACTTATGTGTAGAGAGTATGGAAGCTTTAGACATTGCGGGTCTTGAAGCGTTATGGGTAAAAATTAAATGCGAATCTAGAAATTATCTCATTGGTACATTTTACCGCGCGGACAAAAGTGAACAATACTGGGATTTGATTGTTCAATCAATTGATATGGCGATTGATTTAAACATGTTCACTGTTATTGCCGGTGACTTTAATATAGATATTCAAAATGAAAGCAACATTAAAATTGAAACGCTAAAACGTTTGTGTGGGATAAACCAGATCATAAATGCACCAACACGAATTACGCATAGCTCTAGCACTTTAATTGATTTGATTAATATACTTTTAGCTCTTTTGGTTTCATGTAACATTTTACAAGTGGAAGTGTCATTATAAGTGGCTCCAAAATTGCCAAATGTCTACCAAATACTTTACGTTTTGTGGGTTTGAATGGTTTCATTTTGAGGAATTAAGTGGCCTCAAATGGACCAATTTGTATTTGGACTTATTAGTAGAGCCTCTGGCTCTGAGTGACCATTTCACAGTTCACAGTATTTTAATAGTGGCAGTTGGCATAAATCTGAATAGGCATACTACAGGAATAGGTATGCTATAGGAATAGGTATGTTATAGGAATAGGTATGCTGTAGGAATAGCCATACTACAGGAATAGGTTTGCTACAGGACTAGGTATACTACTGGAATAGGCATATTGCAGGAATTGGCATAAACCTGAATAGGCGTACTTAAGGAATAGGTGTACTACAGGAATAAGCATACTACAGAAATATATAGTACAGGGGAGGGGAGGTGAAATAGAGTTTAATGTCGTACTTAAGATTATTTCACTCATATGATGATGTGTATGCGTGTGTATGTGTGGCTGCTTGTACTAGCCCAGACTAAATTTGGTTTTATAGTGCTAGCTCACTGAAATACCATGCCGCAGTTTAGCATGAATACCCCACATTATAGCCAACTGACTCCGAGCCGACCAGTCCTTGCTGTACCTACTAATTCCGAGCGCCAGACAGGGACCAACAACTACCATATTTGGTATGACGTGGCCGGGGATCGAACCCGCGACCTTCCGCTGTCCAGTTGGATGCTCTAACCACTACACAACGGAGTGAGTGAGTGAGTTAATATTTAACGTCACATCGGCAATAGAGAAGGAGAAGAAAGAAGACGCGAAGGAGATATGTTTTGCAGCTCAATGCCGGCAGCAGAATTAAATGGCTTAATTCTGTGCCCAAGAGGCGGAACAAGAGAAAACTTTTTTGTTGTACAGATCCTCATAAAGAGGATTAAAAACACAGTTATATGCAGGGTTAGACTCACTAGAATATAGCTTTGTGATATATTGTAACGATAATTTGATACGGCTTTGTTTGAGCGATGGCTCGTCAGCCTCTACAGAAAGACTGTCAATAGGAGAAGTTCGGAAAGTTCGAAACACAAAGTCTGAGACCTTGGTGATAAACAGAATCTAATGATTTAAGATTGCTCTTGCAGGCTCCACCATAAATGATGGAACCATAATCGAGTTTAGAGTGAGTGAGTGAGTGAGTGAGTTAATATTTTTCGTCACATCGGCAATATTTCAGCCATATCGTGACGAGAACAG